CCATCCTGACCGATTGTTTTTGCCAAGTTGCAGGTATCTTTGTGAATCTCATGACAGACAGATCTGATATGACCGAGGGAGGCATTTTTGTTTGCGATGGGATTGGCCGCTGGTTTCGCTCTCCCAAGATGGGCCCAGATACGCAACTGGACCATTGGGAAGTCTTTGCTCTGCATCATCCTGAATCAGAGAAAAAGTATATCAGCGATGTGTTCGTGTTCGACCCCCGCGATGGTTCCTTGGTCGAAGTGATATTGCGAATAAGCTACCAATGGGTAGCCGTGGACGGAATTCGTAAAGCATTGTCGGCGCCTGCCCCATCTGGACATCACCTCCCCACAGTCACTCCCGCCCCAAGCCAGACCTCTACACCCGCACCAACTTTGGCGCCGGCGTTAGTTAATGGATGGAAACCACAAGAGAAGAAGAAGAAGAAGAAGAAGAAGGAGAAGAAAGTGGCCGTCAAGCAGCAAGGGCCAGACGTTATTGGCAAGACCCGTGAGATTATATGTAATCTTTCGGGATTGGAGCCTGACGAAGTCAAGGACAACTCTGATCTGATTGAGCTTGGAATCGATTCTCTTATGAGCATGGAACTCACGCGAGAGGTCAATACCGCATTCAGGTGTTTACTAGATACTGCGCAGCTTATGGATTTGACTGACTTTCAAAGTCTCGTCATATGCATCCAGACGACAGTGGGCCTTGATTCTCAAGAATTGGGCAACATATCAGAGGCGCACGATACGGCAAGTGAAGAGTCGGGAGAAGAGACTGCAATGAATGGGACAATGAATAGAACGACTAATGGGGTAAACCACGTTGTGAAAGGCTCCGCGCTCTCTGCATCGATAGTCTTGGATGCCTTTCAAAAAGCCTCAGAAGCCACAGATGAATTCATCGTCAATGGACATTTGGGAACATACTACGACGAGATCATGCCCAAGTCGACCGAGCTTTGTGTTATCTATATCCTGAATGCCTTCGAAGTCCTTGGAGTGAATATACGGGCTACCGCACCAGGTCATAAGATCGAGCGTGTTCCATATCTCCCTAAACACGAGCAGCTTATGAACTTAATATATGATCTACTCTGGAAGGATGCTCGTTTGATTGATATCAGTGGCTCTGAGATTATACGGACAGCTGTTGCGCCGCCAACCAAGTCGGCAGATGCGTTATTAGCAGAGTTGCTTCGCAACGAACCGATTCATGCCGCCGAACACAAACTCACAAAATTGACGGGAGAAAAATTTGCTGATTGCATCAGCGGCAAAGCCGATGGGCTTCAACTGATCTTTGGGACTCCCGAAGGACGAGAGATTGCAACTGATCTGTACGCCAAATCTCCAATTAACGGAATCTGGATCCAACAAGCCGAGTACTTCCTCGAAACTCTTGCGGCTGGGCTGCCGAAGGATGGAGAACCTCTCTGTATTCTAGAGATGGGGGCTGGAACTGGAGGAACGACAATTAAAATGGTCCAGCTGTTGGCACGCTTGGATATTCCTGTCAAATATACCATAACCGATCTTTCTTCATCCCTGGTTGTGGCAGCTCGCAAGAGATTCAAACAATACAAGTTCCTAGAATTTAAGGTCCTCGATATCGAAGCTGCACCCGGTTCGGGTCTATTGCACAGCCAACACATCGTACTTGCCACCAACTGTGTTCACGCGACTCGCAATTTGACAATATCGACGACGAACATACACAAGATTTTGCGACCAGACGGGTTTCTCCTGTTAATAGAGATGACGGAGCAAGTGCCTTGGGTCGATTTTATATTTGGTTTATTGGAGGGCTGGTGGTTATTTAATGATGGTCGGCAGCATGCTTTGCAACCCCCAAAGCACTGGGAGAAGATATTGTCATCAGTTGGCTTTGGTCATATTGATTGGACTCGGGGGAACCGGCCTGAAGCGAATATTCAGCGCCTGATCATTGCTTTAGCCGATGGATCCAGGTATGATCCTGTGCCAAAGCCACACCTTCCAACCGCACAGACAGTGTTAACAAACAATTCAGTTCGTCAAACGGCCATTGATGCATATGTCTACGAATATTCGAAAGAATTCTTCTTTGAACCTCGAAACTCGATCTCGTATCATGTTCATCCGTCCAACGAGAAGTATTGCGTCCTTGTCACTGGTACCACTGGAAGCTTAGGCTCTCACATCGTAGCGTACTTCGCACAGCTACCTGAAGTGGAGACGGTGGTGTGTCTCAATCGATTGAGCACGGTAGATGTCACTCTCCGCCAGCAGCAATCTTTTGCTTTGAGAGGTATCTCACTCGATAAAAGTTCAATGTCCAAGTTGAGAGTTATTGAGACAGATACCGCTAAATCGATGCTGGGGTTGCCGAAGAGTACATTCCAATATCTTACAGATAATGTTACGCATATCGTCCACAACGCTTGGCCTATGAGCCTTACACGTACAGTCAGTGCCTATGAGTCTCAGTTCAAGGTGATGCGGAATCTTATTGCACTATCGAGTAAAGCCACAAGTCAGCGTCCCGCACCTTTCAAACTCGGCTTCCATTTCATCTCATCAATTGGTGTTGTCGGGTACTACCCTCTCTGGACCGGCAAAGTACTTGCTCCTGAAGAGTCTATGCCAGTTGACTCAGTTTTACCGGTAGGATATGCCGACGCAAAATTGGTCTGCGAGCGAATGCTAGACGAGACATTGCATCGCTACCCAGAACACTTCCGGCCCATGGCTGTGCGGATTGCACAGATTGCAGGCTCGACGAGCAACGGATATTGGAATCCGGTGGAAAACTTTGCATCTTTCTTGAAGTCTTCCCAAACGCTCAATATTCTTCCGGATTTGAAGGGTACTCTATCATGGTGTCCTGTTCAAGATGTCGCTGCCACACTAGGCGAACTTCTCATTTCTAAGACTCAGCCATACCCGATCTACCACATCGAAAATCCTTCGAGACAACCCTGGCCAGATATGATTATGGTGCTAGCCAATGAGCTTGGTATTCCCAGCGATAACATCGTCCCGTTCGATGAATGGTTGAGCCGAGTACGTCGTTTCCCTGGCTCTACCAATGACAACCCCGCAGGACAACTGGTTGAGTTCTTCGACAAACATTTCGTTCGAATGTCATGCGGTGGCCTGATATTAGATACGGTTAAGAGTCAGGAACATTCGAAGACCATCCGGAGCACAGGGTCTGTGAGTATAGATCTTGTTAGGAAGTACATTTCATCGTGGAGGAGTTCGGGGTTTTTGAGTTGATACGAATATTAGAATCTAGTAGCTATAGATTGATTATGTTATATATATTATACGGTAATCACCTCATATAGCATTATTTCATATATTAATATCTCAAATATCAGGAATATAATCAAAATGATTTCAATTAGTATTTTTAATATTTTAATCTCGACTTTTTTTGGTAATATTATTATTCTGGTTTCGATTTGATTTGAATAAAAAATTGATATTCCGGTTTCAAAAATATATAATATTCTAATTTCAAATTGATTTGATATTCTGATTTTAAAAATCATATATTATTCTGATTTCAAAAACTATATATTATTCTGGTTCTAAAAGTCATATTCTAATTATAATATAATATAAAGTAATAAAAATGAGGAATATAAAGCAAAATAAAATTTGTTTAAAAAATAAAAGTTTTGAGATTTAATTTGAGATTAGAATCTAATTTCCTGATTTGATTGATTATAGTTTGAATAGAAAATCCAAATTTTGTATTATATTTAGATTAATATTATTTTTGAATCTGAAATCAGAATATCAATATTTCTATGAATTTAGATCAAACTAATATTTTTCAAATTGAGATTAAAATATCAATATCCCTATAAATTTGAATTATATTAATATTTCTGATTAAGATTAGAATATTAATATCCCTATGAATTTGAATCAAATTAATATTTTTCAAATTGAGATTAGAATAGTAATATTTTGAAAATCAAAATGATCTGAAATAGTATATACTAGATCCCAATTAGTATTTTTGATATTTGAGGTATCAATACATGGAATAATGTTATATGGGGTTATTACCGTATATTATAAATACCAAGATTTTGAAGAACGATTGTGAAAGGCGGAAGTGAGAGCAATGATTTTTGAACAGCACTCTCTTCCCCTTCCTTTCGATGGCCCAAATGTGCAGGCATAGAATATAGTTTTATCGAGTTAGAGATGTTGACTGGGATCAGGATGCAACTTTCACTTGATCAACTGTATAGACGGCATGAATCATGCCATTGCATAGCCACAGTCCGCTGCAAGTCTTTAAAGAGTCCAGATATCGTACCACTTGCTTTGGGAAACACGGCGATAGGAGCTGGCTCGCTAGAGACTTGAATATTCGACGAGGGTTGCATGTTCAAGATGAGTTATTTAGATAATCTGGATAAACTAAATATTCACGTCTGAAATTCAAGTGTGCAACTTTTTCTGTGCACAGCAGTTTTAGCTCAGGGGGTTGAGCAAGGCTCACGATGAAAATGAGGGGCGCTGATGCGGGGTAAACAGAACTTGTCTCAGACAGCGGAAACCTTTGTGAGATTCCTGCAGAATATGCAACCTCGAAATGAATAAATTTTAAGGAGCAATGGACGATTAGAGATTTATAGCAGCAAACAAAGGGGTCTACTCGGACGGGAAGTGGGTTGAAAGTTGCGAATCTTTTGTCACCTGAAGAGCACCAGCATCGAATGGGAGGTAGGAGGATCAAAATAATACATCAACATAATTCAGTATGGAATAGAATTTAAACAACTCGGTTAGACGGCATCCATTGCCCCATATGGAGGAAATGGTTGCCTCTAAGCTAAGAAGGAAGTCACAACTTACGATGAGTGGAATTGATTTGAGCAGAAAGATACGAAGGCTTGGGATTTTGATAAATTCATAGTGGGTTGAATCAAATTTCAGACAATTGAAGTTGAATTCTGTATTTTGTCTGGCCAAAAAGAGCTATCGCCGGTGAGCCATTTAGCGAGTCTTGCCTTCGGCTTGATCGAAGTCTCTCCACATAGTCTCGATTAATTCATGTCTCTTGATAGCATAATCAAAGTCCGGATACCAGTCCTTCTTCCGATAAGCCTCGTACAGACGGGCGATATTCTGTGCAGGTAATGGCAGCTTGCTCCATTGGTCCTCATCCGGTGCAACCTCTCTCACCTTACCGCTGGCATCATACAGCTCCAACTTTGTGTCAGAGCTTCCTACATTCAACGCCATTGATGAGGAGGTTAATCTCAGCCAGCCATACTCGCCTTGAATCCTCCAATCCAAGATAGGTAGGCCTGAAATTCCATCGCCGCCGGTGAAAATAATCGCTACTACAGCTTGCGACGGCAGCACCGTACCGTGAATGAGGAGATGGTCTGGGACTGTATTTATTACAGCCTTTTCCAGTACTTGATTCCCATTTCTAGGATCTACGATATCTTTGAAGGGCCTTCGTATCGCGCAGGCACCTTTTAACGTGGTGAAGTCACCAAGAGCTGAGAAAATAAAATATTCAAAAATCAGCCTTCTCCTGTCTTTTCTTTTCTCTTCTTTTCTTTTGCACAGACTGCGCAGGGTTCAAATGGCGCGAGTGTGACTTACCGGCTATTATATACTCTAACGCATGGGCACCATGTATGCTCATCAAATTTCCACCAGTCTCTCGATCCAAAAAGAAGGAGGTAGGCTTTGGCTCAGTTGCGCCTCCGTGTCCCAGCGACCCAACAATACTGCTCGAGAGAAGTCTTCCGATTGTTCCGCTGTCAATAATTTGTTTAATTTTCCGAATGACAGGCGAAAAGGAGGCTTGGAGACCGACAATTGCCTTTGCATTGTGAAGTGCGACCAGTGCGCACATTTCTTTTGCCACATGTATACTCCTCTCCAGTGGCCATTCTACATAAACCGCCTTGCCCGCTACAATGCTTGGCTTTACCGTTTGAAAGTGTTTATCCACTCTCACACAGCAGACAATAAGGTCAATTTCATCATCATTTGCGAAAGCTGTTCAGGTTTCTCAAGAACAAATCAGCAAGCATATTGTTGTTTTTTTCGCAGAGAAAGAGACCAGTTAAGGGGGAGAGAGGCTACTGTACCATTTGGATCACCGTATGCCTTTGTATTGACAGCTAATTCATGTCTCTGAATTGCTGCCCTGGCCGACTCCACGGAGCTGTTCAATAGTGCGCGGATTTGATACTCAGCAGTCGATCTGAAGTATTGGAGATGGGCAATCTCAGCCCACGAGATACCGTCCCTTTTTTCTCTAGGCTGACTAGAGAGCCCGATCAATCCTACTCGAATTGGTGCCATGGTGTTCTGTTTCTTTTTTGCGACGCAGTCTGAAGGCGAACTTCTAGCAGGTGAGGAACTGAGATACGTCGGTTAGTACTTACAGAGCCTGATGGGCCAGTCGCCGCCTCGGGGTTATGCTGGCGATTTGGTTGGCGGGAGCCTCTAACTACTCTCACGACATTTTCTTTGCATTACTACCAGTAATGAGAGTTTAACCTTCTAGCTTCTATATTCCGCGGGAAACGGATAAAGTTCAACACTCAAGAGATTCAAATAACGGGAAAATGGTTTCCTAACGATCGTAAACGTTTACCCGTTCCAGGGCGTTCTTCAGTGGGGTGGTGGGGTCACAGCCCAACGCACAGTCCAGTCATCTTTTCCAATAGGAAAAGGTTCCTAGACCACATACCCAAGGAGTCTGCCAAGGACTCGCGACTGTACGATGTACTACCGTTAGAGAGGTTTCTACAGTTTTCGGAAAGTCACGGGCCGACTATATGAATATGATGTAGAACCAGCTATGACGAATGTAGAATTTATGTTAATGCACGAACAGCATTATTCCCGAAGAACTGTCAGTGTCCAGTCTGCCAGTGTATTACGCATCACTAACAATTGTCGCGCAGGGGTGGCACGATTGATGTCTTAAAAACTTGGAAGGTAAATTCAACAAGAATCATCCAGTGATTCTTTTGCAGCTTCATATTCCTTTAGATTTCTGGCATCATGCGGACTCTTATTAATTTCTGCTTGCTTTTTCTGTTATGCTGGTCATCAGCCAATTTGACCCAATATGATATTCAAAGAGCAAAAAGATTGAGCTCTGGTCGATTGAAGGGGCGTGCTGCTCCCGAAGCATCTTTACACTATCGACAAGAATTGATATCCCGAGGAACAAGATCACCGTATTACACAAATAAAACTTCTAGTCAGTAAAACATCATTGACCTTCTGATCCTTTGAGAAACGTGCAAAAAGATGGCTGAGTTACTGACGAGGGGGCAAACTTGCTCACGCCAAATAGATTTTTGGGTAGATGGAACTGCAATTCCAGATGTTGATTTTGACATTGGGGATTCGTACGCCGGTCTACTTCCCATATCTTCGGAACCAAATGAAAGCCGTAAATTCTATTTTTGGTTCTTTCCTTCTGCAAATCCGGCAGCGACAGACGAGATTTTGATCTGGCTGAACGGTGGACCTGGTTGCAGTTCCCTCGAAGGTCTCCTTCAGGAGAACGGGCCATTCCAATGGCAGTATGGCACTTACAAACCAGTGCCGAACCCTTGGACTTGGGTCAACCTGACCAATGTTGTGTGGATAGACCAGCCCATCGGAACCGGATTTTCACAAGGAGAGAACAACATCACAACTGAAGCAGAGATGGCAAGCCAATTTCTCGGCTTCTATAGAAATTTCGTCCAGACATTTGATTTGACCGGAAGAAATATATTCATAGCAGGTGAATCGTATTCTGGACAGTATGTCCCACACATTGCGAGCGCCATGCTCGACCAGAACGATACTGAAACCTTCAATCTCAATTCGACCATGATACTCGACCCATTGATCAACAGCCCTGTCGTCTTGACCGAAGTCTTTGCCGCCAACTTCCTTAATGACTGGCAGTCAACATTTTCCCTAAACAAGACCACGGTGGCCCAGGTGCAGAATATGAGCATCGAGTGTGGATACCAGTCTTACATAGAGGATAATTTTCTCTTCCCGCCAAAAGGGCCATTTCCACCTATTCCAGATGCCAGCGATACGGACCCAAACTGTGCTGTTTGGGAAACTATTGCAGATGCAGTAGCCATTGTCAATCCAGTAAGCAATAATTTAAGATTTTCTGTTGGAAAAATGAAGTGAAAAGAGAGGGCAAGGAAGAAAAGAAAAGCTGCTAACATTTTGTAGTGCTGGAACATTTATCACATCACAGCTACGTGTCCCCAGCTCTGGGACGTTCTAGGCTGGCCAGGGACTTCAAGTTACCTTCCTCCAGGCGGCGGTCCGCTGTATTTCGATCGGGCTGATGTCAAAACGGCTATCCGTATGTCTCCTTCCTATTCATTTTCACCAGCCGAGTATCTTTTGCACAATTGGCTCAGTAGCTGATGTTTTGGCCAGACGCTCCAATGAATACAACCTGGACCGAATGCACAGACGCAGTAATCTACAACACAGAGACTGGATGGTCAACAGACTCTCAAAACAATCTCTATACTCCTTTTACCGTCTTACCTGGTGTAATTGAGCGAAGTCAACGCACTATCATCGGTCATGGTAATCTGGATTTTCTCCTACTCAGTCAAGCATCGTTATTGACGATTCAAAACATGACTTGGGCTGGCCAGCAAGGCTTTCAATCGCCTGTTGACCAAGACTTCATAGTTCCAGCCCAGACGGCTTACCAAGACACAACGCTTGCCGGCAGCGGGGTGATGGGCTCTACTAAAACAGAGAGGGGGCTCACGTTTGTTGAAGTGAGCCTTAGTGGGCACATGGTGAGTTATGTCGCATGTCCCAAAGATCTACTGAGTCATCACTAACTCTCAACTCTCTGTAACTCGTGAGCTGACTTCCTTTTCCTAGGTCCCTCAATATCAACCAGCCGCCGCCTTTCGATTGGTAGAATTCCTTCTTGGAAGGGTTTCGAGCATCTCAGAAGCAGAGCCTTTTACTAATAGCTCTGATGGCTTGGTGGCACAGCAGAACGCCCCCGACCCTTCAGACTAAGAGCGGGGTTATTTTTACGCTTCTACGGAAGTAGAGAGGGAGTCACGGAGTTACACGAAATCAATTTACTTTGAGATATTTTGGGGGGATTTTAAATAGAATCGGCCCTAAAACAATGAGTAAACAACACGGTTGCTTGTTCCAATAATCTAAGAATGAGTGTTCAGTGAAGCTTTTCCGACCAACAGTGTAGAGTTCTTAGTCGACTACTCTTGACAGACTCAGCCAAAGTCAGTGGTGTGAGTTTCCGTGAGCCAATTGGGCCATTCACAAGCTGTTACGACGTGGGAGATACATGTTAGAAGGATACGAGTTGAGAAACTTTTCAGGCAGTGCTAGAAAGTTGATAAGTGGAGAGAATGTGATGGAATGATCAATCTATGTTTTTCTACAGTACTAACGCACTCCTACTAGCCGGCCGGATTTTACCCGGAATCCATTAATACTAATATTCAATTCAATCATTATTATTAAATCAATTATTCAATATTTTGTTTTAAAATTTGAATATATTCTTGATTTATATATATATATATATATATATATTAATATTATAAAGTCTTATTGGAATATTATAATATAATCTTATAATATTTAATATATTAGTTATTTGCTACAATACAAGCTTTTATTCTATTCCCTATACTTATTCTCAAATTTATAAATAAATTATTATTTAATATATTCCAAACTACTTGTAAAATATTCTCTAGCCTTTGCTTAATATATTCTAATTTGCTTTTATTTACTATAGTATCCGGAAATATCTCGAAAACATATGTTTTTAAATATTATTAAATACGCTTTATAGAATTGAGATTAGGATTATAAGAAGGTTAGAAATTAATCAAAATAATATTTTTAGTTCTAAATTATTTTAATATCTTATTAGCTTAATATATAAAAATATTATTCTATATAAATTGATATCTTTTATTTAGCCTTTTTTTAAAAAAAGCTAGTTTTTTATTAAAAATCTTGAGATAAAAGTTAATATTATATTTAAACTTTTTACTCTTGAAATCCCTACATATAATATAAAGCTTCCTTCTTTTAATATTACAAAAGCATTTTTAAATCATAATCTTCATATTTTTGTTTATGAAATAGATTTGGATTATATTCTATTTCTATTTTTAATGTAAAGTATGAAAAGCTTATTCCTGATTTTTTTCTTTCCCTCATTTTATAGATTACTTATCTAATTAAAAGATTAGTCTTTATTTCTTTGCTATTTATTCTTTATAGTTTAGATATTAGGTTAGTCTTTTAACTATATATTCTTTTATAAATTTAGACTTTTTTCTAATTACTTAATTACTTATATCATTTTTTTAAGAATATATATATTAATAATACCTAATAAATAAATTTGGGAAATAATCGAATATAATTTAATATAATATATTTATTTCGAAATGAATATAATTTCCATTCGGTTTTTTTAAATAAAATAATTCTATGAATGTATTATATGCTCTTTAATATAATCTATTGAATAGTTTTTTAAAAGATTTTTAGATTATTTGTAATTTTTGTGAATTTAGCACCCTTTTCAGTCTTTTCAATAATTCTGTTATGATTATATGAACTCAGTTGTATCCCAGGAATATTATTATAGTTAATTAATTTTAATAAAGTATTAGAGTAGATACTAGCAATAAATCAACTAGGTGAAATATAGTATAAAGACTTTTTATTAATTCTTTTAAATTTATAAAAACTATATAATTTATATATATATATAGACTCTCTTTAATATGTGATAAATCTGAAGATCTATTATTATATGTCTAATAAAGCCTTATAATCTATGATTATAATAAAACTCTCTCTTTTTTTATATTTTGTATTTCAAGAAGTATTTTTATTCTTCTTTTAGATTGTTTTAGTAATATATAATTGTATTATAATATACCCGTATTATATTATATTCTCAAAAGGAAATTCCTATATCTTTACATATTATAAATAATAGAAAATATAAATAAAACAATCTTTATAAATTTTATTATTTTATTAATAGATTACTATATTTTTTATAAAATAATTCTTTTTCTTTATATAAAATAGGATTATTTTGAATAATATAATCTCTTTTTTAAACTTTTCCTATCTCTTTATGATAATTATTTTTCAATTTAATAATACTATTCTTATTACTTTATATTCTATTATTAATTTGATTAGATCAATTATTCTTATTTATCTTCAATATTTTAAATATATTATTAATATTGATTTTAATAATTTTTATGAATTAGATTATAGTTTATATACTTTCTATAATTATTATTATTATTATTATTAAAAAAAAATCTATATTTTCATATCTTTTTAATATATTTCCGATATTAATTTTATATGTCAAATATATATTTATTATAATACAAGCCTATATTATAATATTGAAAAGACTATAAGTAATATAATTATAATTCAATAAAGGGAATAATATATAAAGAATATAAAAGTCTTTTTATAAAAGAAAGTTAAATATAGGAGTATTTATAAGTCTTAGTTATTAAAGAAGTTAGGTTTTTTGATTATAAATCAATTAGATTATATTAATAACTTGATGGAATACTTTATAAACTTTTATTGATTTATAATTAATTTATTATTATTTACACTTTGATTTTGAATAAACTAATTTATTATATATATAGAATACCTTGCCTTTATTAAATGCTATTATACTAGGTTTTACTATAAAATTTATTTCTATTATTAATTCTAATTATAAAGGGGAATTTATAGCTTTTATTACTTATAATTACATAATCCTTATAAATATACTACTATTACCAAACCCAGTTTTTGAATTAGCATTTTCTATAATATCTATACCTCCAACTACTTTATTTATAATTCCTTAATCTAATATATTATATATAATAGCTAATTCTAAGAGTTAATCTTATTATTAATCTATTATCAAAATGTTAGATATATCTATTCAAAAGAATGACACTAAGTCTAAATACTCTAAAATTCAATCCTCTAAAGAATCTCTTTTTTCTTTTATATCTGGTAATAATAAGTTTAATAATAATAAAAATAATGAAAATACACAGATCTTTTATAAAACCTTTAGCATTCTATTATATATTACTATTTCAAGGGTTTCAATTGATATATATAGTATGTCATATTTAATATATTATGATATTATTATTAGTTTGCTATTTATACCTTTTTATTCCTTCTTCTTTATTTCTCTTTTTTTTTTTATAAAACACTTTAGAAATTTATAGAAAAAAGGATTCTTTTATGATAAGCTATCAAATTATTAAATTAAAACAGAATTCTATATCTACTTTAAAGATATCGGGGTTACACTGGAAAATTTATATAGAAAAATCTAATAGTTAAGTAAACTCCCTAGAGAAACCTTAATAATAGAATGAGAAGAATATTAATTAGGTTTTTAAATAATAATAAGATATTATAAATAAATTATTAGAAAATTAATTATTTAATAATGTTTTTGAAAAGAAAAAAGGACTAATTAATAAAAATGAAATTGATATATTAATAAGTATAAAAAAGTAAAAAGATAATAATATAAATAATATTTATTTTAAAAACCTTTTCTTTTTAGGAGATATTTTAGTATTAGAGTGGGTGCAAGGTGATGACTAGTATAAATATAGGTATAGGTTCAGAATAAGACTTTTTGTTAATTCCTTTTAAAACCTCTTTTTAAAACTATATATATATAAAAATTCTTTAGTATTGGAATAATATCGGTCTAATACTGATTTTATATTAATATTTATAATAAAGCCCTTCTTTTTAGGCTTTTATTCTTAAAAACTTTTTAAAATTATTTAATAACTAATTACTATTATATTAATATATTTTCAAAGTTTTATTAAATTCTATAGTAAAAGTTAGTTATATAATATTTATATCCTTATTTTATAAGATTTAGCTTTTTTATAGTTTTTGAAAAAAGCTATATTATAATACAAAAATATTAGAAATAATCCAATTTCTAATTCAAAGCTTAAAATTCTTAAAATTTTTGAAAAATTTCAAAAGAAAGAAATTGATTCAATAAAATAATAATTTGTATTTAATAGGATTTTGCTTTTCTTTTTTCAGCTTTCAATTTTGAAAGTTTATTTATTCTAAAAGTATATAAAATCTATAATATTAAAACTTCAATAATACTATATTATTATATAATATTCAAAATTCTAAAAATCCTAAAAATAACAAAAATTCGGAATATTATAAAAAACTTTAAAATCCAGAAAATCCAAAAAATCTTGAAATAACAAAACTTTACTACAATACTAAGCCACTTATATCCGCCCCCCCGCTTATTTTATGGTATCACATATTGCACCAACCTTTTTCAATATTAAATATTAAATTAATCAAGAATTATAAAATTATCAAATTTGAATAAATAAATAATATATTCTTATATTATTGATACATATAAAAATTATTTTATTGTTGATTTTCAATCTATTGATATTTAGTATACTAGTTATTTGCTGTAATACAAGTCTTAATTCTAAAAGATATATTAATTTCTAAATTATTAAATAATTCTTTATTTAATATATTTCAAATTGCTTATAAACAATTCTCTAGTTTTTGATAAGTATATTCTGATTTACTTTTTATTAATAATAATATTAGGAAATATCTTATATATTCTTATTTTTAAGATTTATTATATATATTTTATAAAATTGAAATTAAGGGAATAAAGAGATTAATCTTTTAATAAAAGAATTTTTTTCTTTTAAAATCAATTTTATATTTTATAGGTATAATAAATAAAAGCATTATCCTATATAAATTCATACTCTAGATCAAGCTTTTCGAAAATAGAATCTATTTTAGTTTCAAAAATCTTAAGGTAAGATTTGATATTATATTTATATTTTATATTTTCAAAATCCTTATTTATTATATATAGATTTTTTTTTTTTTTTAGTATTCCAAAAGCTTTTTTAGTATATAATTTTCATATTTTT